ATACACTTCACGAAAAGAGCTACCAACATCGCAGGGAAAAGAGTTGTATCATCGCTAGAAAGATAACACGCGACCTCCTGCCAGCCAGGGGGTTCACGTCGCGATGACGTGGCGGGGAAGATGAGCGCCGAGGTAACGAAGGAGGTCGTCGCCACCGAGAGGGTAGCAGCGAGCCCTCCGGCGGCGGTCGCGACCTCGCCGAGCTCGGTGGGTCCAGGTGATCCGGCGCGTCACCTGCCGCCTTTCAGCAGCTTCGCCGGGGACAACGCGATGGACAGTTCGACAACACTGACAACACTTCACTCTCAGGACGTTGGACTTGGTCTGACCACCACATGGGACTATTACGAAGGACTGACGGGTCGTTTGATCGACTCGAGGGGCGAGGTGGTGTTAGCCAGTCAGTACAGGCCATGGGAATCGAAGAATGCGGCCGCAGCTGGCGGTGGACCGAACGCTGCACCAACAGCCGAAGGTTTACCTAGCTTCGCGAGCCAATTCACAGCACCGAGCGAAGCTGAGCCTCAATTGACCGCGCTCACACCATTATCGCCCGCTTCGATATCGCACTCTCCACCTGTCACGTCAGCGGTCGGCCTTCCAAGTTTCCACACGCTCGGCACACCTTTACCGGCGCCTCATCCGCACAGAGGAAGCGTCGGTTATCCGTTGGTGCCGGCGCCAGTCCAAGCAAGAGAGGTACCTGCTCTTCAGCAACAGTTACTAGACGAGAGGCATATTCAGTTACTTGGTTCAAGCCCAGTTCAAGCGTTTCCACCACCGCCACCGGGTCATCCTCATCATACGGTGTTGACAGTGGTGAAGCCGGATTATCCGCAATTGCACCACGCCAACTTTCAGAACCCGATGTCCACGGTGTTGGACCCGTCGCCTACCTCCAGGCCGATCGGCATCGATGGTAGGAAAAAGGAACGTAGAAAAATTCGCGCTGGTTCGATGGAATCAGAGGACAGTGCCGGAGCTGGTAACGTGGAGAATTCTGGACAAGTAGCGGCGGTCTCGTCGACCGCGAACAGGGGACCTCATCATATGGGAGGCGGTATGGTTGACGCGGACGGAGACGGCGGGCTTAGCGATAAGCCCGCGAAGAAGAAGCGCAAAAGGTGCGGCGAGTGCATCGGGTGTCAGCGTAAGGACAACTGCGGCGACTGCGCCCCGTGCAGGAACGACAAGAGTCATCAGATCTGTAAGATGAGGCGGTGCGAGAAGCTCACGGAGAAAAAGGTTAGTGATACGTTTCTTCTTCTTCTTCTTTTTCTCTCATTTTCAGGATTTTACCGAACCACTCGATTTCGTGAAAATAGCATTAGGGAAGTTCATCTTTTCGGTTGGTTCACTTCAATTGGTTAGGTAGAGGAGATTAACTCTTTATTAACTCCCAAAGAATATTACAATTTTTTCTTTTTTCTAACGAAATTTTCTCGATTTCGTGAAATCGATCTTTTCGGTTGGTTTACTTCACCTTGTTAGAATATCACAATAATTCCAAAAAACATACATCACTACATAGAGCATAACCTCTAACGCAGCGCGTACAATTTTCCAAGTACCCGATAATCGATAAAAGAAGCAAATTAAAAAAACGCACAAAACCGTGGAAAAAGGGTGAAACGTGAACTCTGTTCGATTCACTTTCGCCGGGCAGAGAGAGAGAGAGCAGAACCCTGTTGCGCCATCCGCGCTCTTGTAACTGGAGCAATATTCCGCGATCGAAGCGGTGAAAATGAGCGTGCGAGAACGAAGGTTGATGGTCGGCACGCGACAACGGGACGTCGGTGTTTGGTGTGTGGGGTGGAGGGGGGGTTGGTTGGTTGGTCCGAAATTCGTGAAAATCCAGGTGCACGGGCGCGGTTCACAACTGGGGGTAAAGAGAGAGAGAGAGAGAGAGAGAATGGGGCGGCGCGATGGATGCCAGGGTAGGATAAACACTGGCGCACACGTTGCCAGCGTGTTATAGAACGGCCCCGCGTATATATAGATAGAGGCTGAACTTGGCCCCGATGCCTGAATGTGCCGAGAATCCCAGAGGGAAATACAGAAATACAGATAACCGAGGTGGTTTATTATTGTAGCGACATTGAATAGGGGGTTGGTGGGTTGACTGGCTCGTTGGCTGGCTGTGTTCGGCTGCTCAGTTGCTTTTCCTAGCGACGTATTCGAGTCGTGTTCAAACCTACCCGTTGAACAACTGTCCAAGAACGTTAATGTTGAACAACTGTTAATTTTTTTTCTTTTTTGTTTAATTCGAGGAAGTTGGAGGATTTTGTAAGAGTTGAATGGTACGAAGTGATATTCGGAGAGATGTTCTTTTTTTTTTCGTCGAGAATGATTTACATGCTTTCGGCGCGCAGTGCAGCAAGGAGAGGTTATCGCTTAAATACGTTCTCGCAGCGCTGCAGTTCAATTGTCGATACAAAGGAATTCTATGGAAACAGACGGAAAAACAAGAATATTGTTAGGCTGTATCGCTCGCGTTGATACAGTACGACAATCACGTGCCGTACTTGCAGCGCTGACTTAGTTGCAACGTGACGCTGATTAACATTCCAATAAATCGTGTAGAATGTTACGATTACTCGAATCTTATATATTGTCAACCGATTCGGTGGATTTATGATTTCCTATCGAATCCTATTTCATTCTGATACGTAATTCTAAGAAATTCTCTTCCATATAATCGTCGATTCGTTTAAAAGTCTTTCTCCAGTCAAGAATCTGCTCCGCAAATGTTCAATTTCTCCATTGGAAATCGATGCGTCTTCGAACAAAGAAAAATTGTGGAGCAAAATAAAAAGGGTCGGGGACAAAATCGCGTCGAATGGCGCGCGGTTTACTAGAATTACGCGAGGCGCGAGTATGGTCGCGTGTATAGAGCGTGTTCGTTTCGAAAACTCGAATGCACGGGGTCATTGTACGGCGACGCGAGTCAATTTAATGGCAAAGTCGCGGGCAGCGTGCGCGGAGCGGTGTGCAACAAACAGCCGCGCGGCGTCGCCGGAGCGTAAGCTGCTACGCTTATCGTAGGGCAAGTTCAAGGCTCGTCGCGGGTCATAATAATCGCGTATCGAACTCCCGGCTCGTTCAGAAACAAACGTGTTGTTTGCCCGTCGATTTACTGCCTAACACTTCTCTATCCTTCTCCATTTCTTCTCTTCTCTTTCTGTATCCGGCGATAAACGCAGCCTCGCGTCTAACAATTGAAACGAATCCATTCGATTTCCCATTACGGGTACGATAAAACAATCCAGAAGCTTTTCGTTTTTTTTCTTCTTATTCCTCTCGCTGTTCCTCTTTCTTTCGTTTTTCGTCGTTGATTCGTGTCGCGGCACGGAACACGACGGAATGCTTAAGTGGGAACGGTGATAAGGGAGGAATACAGATCGATGTTTGACAGGGAATAAGAAAGGTGATAAGAAAATATTCTGTCGATGGGACGCGTTTATCTTGCAGGGATTCTTCGGCGTAAACGTAAGACTGATAATTTTTTAGTGTTCTTGGCAATTGTTCGGGTGGATGTACGAGTGTTTGAGAAGAGTTTATTAACAATTTAACAAAGTTTTGTGTATTTGCAGTTCTGTGTAATGGTATTGTATTAATTAACTAATTTATTTAACGTTTTAATTACATGTAGATAAAAAGAGAGCACAGGGAGTGAAACGATACATATTATTGACACGTAAAATAATAGTTTATGTAAAAAAGAAAGAAAAGATGTAATGTACAAATGAATTATGGATAAATATAAATAAGAAAAGAAATGCTTAACTATAGTTAAAGGGAGGATAGAAATGTTAATGCATTCGTACTAAACAGTGCTCCAGAAGAAACTTCGTTATTTAAACTTTCTCCACAGTATCAAATTAAACAGACTACATATTTTCGTTTTCAAATTTTTATCAATTCTTCTAATATAAAATTCGTCTAAAAATTCCGCTCAATCTCGAAACTTTCGCAGTAAGGGGTAAAGAAACGATCGAAATTGCCCGTTGAATTTGTAGCAGTGAATGACGTGAAATTGATATCGGAGATTTGCTTGGGCAGTTACTCGAATCGATGAAGATTTTCACGAGTCGTCGACTGGTCGTTGGCTACCCGTCTTTATCGTGCCACTTTCCGAGAGCTGACCTTAAGTGAGTCACTGACAGCTATTATCATGACTTTCACGGACAGCCGTGCGTAGGCAGAGAGCGCATCCCGTGATGAGCCGCGATTAAACGAGAAAATTGTTGTTCCGCCCGATGATAGCCTGTCGAGTGCAAATAATACGCGATTCTCGAAGTCGATCGCCACCGTATCGAATCACCGTTGCACCCGCCGCCACTCCCATTACGATCCTGACGGCCGATTATGCTAAACTCCTCTCCTTTTTACGCCTTGTTAGAAGCAGGGACGCGACGCGACGTCCCCCGGCCTCGAACGTCTCGTAATTACGATAGCGAGTCTTGATCTTCCACAATTTCCACTTCGTCACGAGAAAAATCACGTCTCCGCCAGTCACAAATAATATTTATACATTCGGAGAACTCCAAAAACAGAAATTCCCCAAAATACTCAAAAATCCCTCGTTCTTCCCATCTCCAAAAGTTTTCGAAAAAGAAGCTTCTCGAAAACGGGGCAGTGCGTTCTGGACCGCATACGCTGCGTCGTAGGCACAAATATTATTACTTACAAATAAAAAAATTCCCCAATTCTTTTAACTTCGTCTCACTACTCTGCAAGACTTCGCAAAAATCAAGTTCCCAAAAAAATTCCCTTTCAATCCAAAAAGAAGCAAGACTCGCACGTATGAATTCTTCCAGTAAAAAAAACCAAGGGAATATGCTCGCGGAGCATATTCATACACTCCGAGCGAGAACTGCAGGCGGGAAAGGTGCGCGACAAAGGAGGAGCAAAAAGGGGGCGTGTGGGGGGGGGGGAGAAAAAAAAGGGAAGGAAGGAAGGAACGGGAAGAGAGGCTTGGATGATAGATGGGCAGCGGCACGAGTCGAAGGCCCCGACCGGTGTATACAGGCTCTCTCTCGCCGTCACAACAACCCACACCCTCGCGGATCTTAACACCCTCTTTATCCCGAGGGAAGGCTCACCCCCGGTGTCTTTCTGCCCGCGAAACAGCAGGCCACCCTCGAGTTCATCGTACACCTGGCTGCTGTCGAGAGGTCGTCCGCGATGCCCCAATTTTTATCGTCTTTCTCGCTGTTTTGACCCGCTTCCCTCTCGTCGAAACGATTTACGACCCTCTCTTTAGCCCTTCGACGAGACTATATACCTTCTCGTCTTTTTTTTTTCCTCTCCTACTTCGAGGGAATATGTTTGTTTCCTGAATGGGAAAGAAGGGTGTAGGATATGGATGTATATATATGTATAGTAGAGACGGTTAGGAATCGCGATCATGTTCAATTGGCACGATAGGCCTCCGACATCGTTCGACCCTTGAAAACTGTTCGCCACTTGCTGGGTTTCGCCGCAATTCGATCGATAACCGGCCTCTTCTCCGACCAGAAGCATCCCTCCGCGCGAACCGGTTAATTGGCCGCATTGTCACCTTTTTACGCCAAGGTTCGAACGACTGATTATCGACGAGACGAGTTTCAGCTTTCTCGAGGATCTTCTTCTTTATCTTCGACGCCGAAGGAGAAGCGAATGTTCGTGGAAGTTGCGAGTTGGAAAGATTGGAATTATTCTAAGGGTGTGGTCAAACAGAAATATTGATATCGACCATGTTTAGAGAAATGTACAATTCGTATATTTAAAACAAGCGATCTTTGTTGTATCGCTAATAGAAACGAGTGTTCCAAGAATTCCTCCTTTACTTCAACTTTCTCTACAAGGCAAACTTCTTTACATTAATTTCCTTAGCTTCTGTATCTTCTTTATTCCTCCCATACATATTCATGAGCTGCAACTCGGTGAACTAGTACATACTGGCGCACGGCAGACAAACAATGAACCCATTAATTCATCGTTACGTCAATGAACTTTCAAATAAAAAAGCCAAGTAAAACTACGATCTTCCCAAATACAACGTTTCAAGTGAACAAAAAAAGAAACCCTTAACAAATCCCATATAAATATTAGAAGAAGTGAAGCAAAGCTGAAGATAGGGGAAAAAATTGCGCGAGAAAATCGCTACAGCTGATTCGCGCAGCGCGTTCACTGGTGTCACCCGTTATCCACTCGCTCCGAACTGATTCGATGTCGGTCCCCACTTCGGTGGTACGCTGCTC